CGCTGTATCAATTCTAAACGAGAAATAGAATCAATAACTCTTTCTTTCTATTTTGAGAAAGTCTTGTTTTACTGATGCACCTTGCTACTTCATTGTATACTCTGTTCGCTGAAGGAAGACTCGAGAGTTTAATTGACTCAATGATTATAGTTAACGCTTGTTTAAGCGATTTAATTGGTGTACAGCATTTAATTTCTAAAATCAGACTACACCTTTCCGGAGGTTTTTGATGAGTCAAATCTGGAGAACTGACCAGTAACAATTTTAACCATCCACCACTCGCTTCATTCGCCTGAGATACCCATTGGAAAAATGCATTTGCCGATAAAAGAAAGGCATTATGCAGACTTTGAGGCCATCCAAAAGGCTTCCCCCGACATCCTAGTTGCTACCCTTTCAGATCGCTGTATCAATTCTAAACGAGAAATAGAATCAATAACTCTTTGTTCCTATTTTGAGAAAGTCTTGTTTTACTGATGCACCTTGCTACTTCATTGTATACTCTGTTCGCTGAAGGGAGACTCGAGAGTTTAATTGACTCAATGATTATAGTTAACGCTTGTTTAAGCGATTTAATTGGTCTTCAGCATTAAATTGCTAAACTCGGACTACACCTTTCCGGAGGTTTTTGATGTGTCAAATCTGGAGATCTGACCAGTAACAATTTTAACCATCTACCACTCGCTTCATTCGCCTGAGATACCCATTGGAAAAATGCATTTGCCGATAAAAGAAAGGCATTATGCAGACTTTGAGGCCATCCAAAAGGCTTACACCGACATCCTAGTTGCTACCCTTTCAGATCGCTGTATCAATTCTAAACGAGAAATAGAATCAATAACTCTTTCTTTCTATTTTGAGAAAGTCTTGTTTTACTGATGCACCTTGCTACTTCATTGTATACTCTGTTCGCTGAAGGAAGACTCGAGAGTTTAATTGACTCAATGATTATAGTTAACGCTTGTTTAAGCGATTTAATTGGTGTACAGCATTTAATTTCTAAAATCAGACTACACCTTTCCGGAGGTTTTTGATGAGTCAAATCTGGAGAACTGACCAGTAACAATTTTAACCATCCACCACTCACTTCATTCGCCTGAGATACCCATTGGAAAAATGCATTTGCCGATAAAAGAAAGGCATTATGCAGACTTTGAGGCCATCCAAAAGGCTTACACCGACATCCTAGTTGCTACCCTATCAGATCGTTGTATCAATTCTGAACGAGAAATAGAATCAATAACTCTTTGTTCCTATTTTGAGGAAGTCGTGTTTTACTGATGCACCTTGCTACTTCATTGTTTACTCTATTCGCTGAAGGGAGACTCGTGAGTTTAATTGACTCAATGATTATATTTAACGCTTGTTTAAGCGATTTAATTGGCCTACAGCATTACATTTCTAAAATCAGACTACACCTTTTCGGAGGTTTTTGATGAGTCAAATCTGGAGATCTGACCTGTAACAATTTTAACCATCTACCACTCGCTTTATTCACCTGAGATACCCATTGGAAAAATGCATTTGCCGATAAAAGAAAGGCATTATGCAGACTTTAAGGCCATACAAAAGGCTTACACCGACATTCTAGTTGCTACCCTTTCAGATCGCTGTATCAATTCTAAACGAGAAATAGAATCAATAACTCCTTGTTCCTATTTTGAGGAAGTCGTGTTTTACTGATGCACCTTGCTACTTCATTGTATACTCTGTTCGCTGAAGGAAGACTCGAGAGTTTAATTGACTCAATGATTATATTTAACGCTTGTTTAAGCGATTTAATTGGTGTACAGCATTAAATTGCTAAAATCGGACTACACCTTTCCGGAGGTTTTTGATGAGTCAAATCTGGAGATCTGACCAGTAGCAATTTTAACCATCTACCACTCGCTTCATTCACCTGAGATACCCATTGGAAAAATGCATTTGCCGATAAAAGAAAGGCATTATGCAGACTTTGAGGTCATCCAAAAGGCTTACACCGACATTCTAGTTGCTACCCTTTCAGATCGCTGTATCAATTCTAAACGAGAAATAGAATCAATAACTTTTTGTTCCTATTTTGAAAAAGTCCTGTTTTACTGATGCACCTTGCTACTTCATTGTATACTCTGTTCGCTGAAGGGAGACTTTAGAGTTTAATTGACTCAATGATTATAGTAAACGCTTGTTTAAGCGATTTAATTGGTCTTCAGCATTAAATTGCTAAAATCGGACTACACCTTTCCGGAGGTTTTTGATGAGTCAAATCTGGAGATCTGACCAGTAACAATTTTAACCATCTACCACTCGCCCTATTCGCCTGACATACCCATTGAAAGAATGCATTTGCCGATAAAAAAAGGCATTATGCAGACTTTGAGGCCATCCAAAAGGCTTACACCGACATTCTAGTTGCTACCCTTTCAGATCGCTGTATCAATTCTAAACGAGAAATAGAATCAATAACTCGTTGTTCCTATTTTGACGAAGTCTTGTTTTACTGATGCACCTAGCCACTTCAGTGTATACTCTGTTCGCTGAAGGGAGACTCGAGAGTTTAATTGACTCAATGATTATATTTAACGGTTGTTTAAGCGATTTAATTGGTCTACAGCATTAAATTGCTAAAATCGGACTACACCTTTCCGGAGGTTTTTGATGAGTCAAATCTGAAGATCTGACCAGTAAAAATTTTAACCATCTACCACTCGCTTCATTCACCTGAGATACCCATTGGAAAAATGCATTTGCCGATAAAAGAAAGGCATTATGCAGACTTTGAGGCCATCCAAAAGGCTTACACCGACATCCTAGTTGCTACCCTTTCAGATCGCTGTATCAATTCTAAACGAGAAATAGAATCAATAACTCTTTGTTCCTATTTTGAGAGAGTCTTGTTTTTCTGATGCACCTTGCTACTTCATTGTATACTCTGTTCGCTGAAGGGAGACTCGAGAGGTTAATTGACTCAATGATTATATTTAACGCTTGTTTAAGCGATTTAATTTGTCTACAGCATTAAATTGCTAAAATCGGACTACACCTTTCCGGAGGTTTTTGATGAGTCAAATCTGGAGATCTGACCAGTAACAATTTTAATCATCTACCACTCGCTTCATTCACCTGAGATACCCATTGGAAAAATGCATTTGCCGATAAAAGAAAGGCATTATGCAGACTTTGAGGCCATCCAAAAGGCTTACACCGACATTCTAGTTGCTACCCTTTCAGATCGCTGTATCAATTCTAAACGAGAAATAGAATCAATAACTCGTTGTTCCTATTTTGACGAAGTCTTGTTTTACTGATGCACCTTGCCACTTCAGTGTATACTCTGTTCGCTGAAGGGAGACTCCAGAGTTTAATTGACTCAATGATTATATTTAACGCTTGTTTAAGCGATTTAATTGGTCTTCAGCATTAAATTGCTAAAATCGGACTACACCTTTCCGGAGGTTTTTGATGAGTCAAATCTGGAAATCTGACCAGTAACAATTTTAACCATCTACCACTCGCTTCATTCACCTGAGATACCCATTGGAAAAATGCATTTGCCGATAAAAGAAAGGCATTATGCAGACTTTGAGGCCATCCAAAAGGCTTACACCGACATTCTAGTTGCTACCCTTTCAGATCGCTGTATCAATTCTAAATGAGAAATAGAATCAATAACTCGTTGTTCCTATTTTGGGGAAGTCGTGTTTTACTGATGCACCTTGCTACTTCATTGTATACTCTGTTCGCTGAAGGGAGACGCGAGAGTTTAATTGACTCAATGATTATAGTTAACGCTTGTTTAAGCGATTTAATTGGTGTACAGCATTTAATTTATAAAATCAGACTACACCTTTACTGATGCACCTTGCTACTTCATTGTATACTCTGTTCGCTGAAGGGAGACGCGAGAGTTTAGTTGACTCAATGATTATAGTTAACGCTTGTTTAAGCGATTTAATTGGTGTACAGCATTAAATTGCTAAAATCGGACTACACCTTTCCGGAGGTTTTTGATGAGTCAAATCTGGAGATCTGACCAGTAACAATTTTAACCATCGCCCTATTCGCCTAAGATACCCATTGGAAAAATGCATTTGCCGATAAAAGAAAGACATCATGCAGACTTACACCGACATCCTGGTAGCTACCCTTTCAGATCGCTGTATCAATTCAAAACGAGAAATAGAATCAATAACTCTTTGTTTCTATTTTGAGAAAGTCTTGTTTTACTGATGCACCTTGCTTCTTCAGTGTATACTCTGTTCGCTGAAGGGAGGCTCGAGAGTTTAATTGACTCAATGATTATAGTTAACGCTTGTTTAAGCAATTTAATTGGTCTACAGCATTAAATTGCTAAAATCGGACACCTTTCCGGAGGTTTTTGATGAGTCAAATCTGGAGATCTGACCAGTAACAATTTTAACCATCTACCACTCGCTTGATTCACCTGAGATACCCATTGGAAAAATGCATTTGTCGATAAAAGAAAGGCATTATGCAGACTTTGAGGCCATCCAAAAGGCTTACAGATCGTTGTATCAATTCTGAACGAGAAATAGAATCAATAACTCTTTGTTCCTATTTTGAGAAAGTCGTGTTTTACTGATGCACTTTGATACATCAGTGTATAGTCTGTTCTCTGAAGGAAGACTCCAGAGTTTAATTGACTCAATGATTATAGTTAACGCTTGTTTAAGCGATTTAATTGGTCTTCAGCATTAAATTGCTAAAATCGGACTACACCTTTCCGGAGGTTTTTGATGACTCAAATCTGGAGATCTGACCAGTAACAATTTTAACCATCCACCACTCGCTTCATTCGCCTGAGATACCCATTGGAAAAATGCATTTGCCGATAAAAGAAAGGCATTATGCAGACTTTGAGGCCATCCAAAAGGCTTACACCGACATCCTAGTTGCTACCCTTTCAGATCGCTGTATCAATTCTAAACGAGAAATAGAATCAATAACTCTTTGTTCCTATTTTGAGGAAGTCGTGTTTTACTGATGCACCTTGCTACTTCGGCGTATATTCTGTTAGCTGAAGGAAGACTTGGGACTTGATTGGGCCGTAACTTACCGGCAATGACGACCTGGAAGACGCAGGGCTCCTTCTGGCGTCCGACCTCGTTAACGCCGTAGCAGAGCAGCGTGCCGTAGTCGAGATCGGACACCGGCGTGTAGTTCAGACGGGACGAGGTGACCTCGTTAGTGAACCTGTTGGCCGGAACGTCGGTCTGGTCCCCGGAGTTGTTGAACGTCCAGTGGAAGGTCACCACCGAGGGGTTGGCGTCGACCTGACATCGCAGCGTCACGGTCTCCTGCTTCAGTGCGCCGTAGAGCTCCTCGCGCTCCTGAATGCACACTGGCACATCTGAAACAGAACGGACGTCCGAAATAAAGCTAAATGTCCTCTGCTATTACTCTTTCTCTATATCCACTCTTTTTTTGTTGATAATTTATACTTTTCGAGTCTTTTTCTACAACGTCACAAAAATCAGATTTGTTAACATGAGTTTTTAGTTTTGAGATATGAATTTTCAACAGTTTTTTTTATTTTTCGGAGGTGTTTTGACGTTTTTAAGTGTAGCTTGAAATCTAATTGATCAAAACAATCCCTTAAATTAAAGGTTTTTAAGCCCTCTAAAACTTTATTCTAGTGTATTCAAATCCAAGCTGGACTAAACAAAAACGCCCAGACGCGTGGTAACTCGTTTCTATTGGTCGATTCGGAGAGAGACTTTACATACTTTTGATATGGGTAATAGTACGTTCTGTAACAAGTTTGGAATACAGCATATTCCGCTCGAGGAAAAATTTGACACACGAGCCGAAGGCGAGTGGGACGGTTTTACGAGAGTGGAATATGCTATTCCAAACGTGTTTCAGACATTATTTTCTCTACGACTACGTAAGAATAGTAACGCTTATATAATTTTAAACAGAGAAAAGAAACCAATTAGATTTTGACGTTTAAGTTTTTGTATTGTCAAACCATTTTGTGCCGTCACAATTTTATAATGTAAATTATAATAAATTTAAACAAATGGTATGCCTAAATCTTTATTATAATTAAAAATAGTTATTTACACTAACTAATAAAAAAAATAACATTGTAACAAATACAAAACTAATTTTACAAGTAATCTATGTCAACATCTATTCTTTTTCTACATTTTAAAGGTCTTTTTTTAAACTTTTTGAATCTGTCAAAACTTCAAAGCCGTTATAGTAGGTAACTGGTTTATCATTTTAATATCAAATTTATTATAATTTTGATTTGTATATTTGAAAAACAATAAATATAACTAATTTTTTGTGACTAAACCTTAATTATACAACTGCTATTATTTTTTAACTAATAAATAATACAGTAATATTTAAATATTTTTAAATTTTTTACGTTTAGTAAACAGCCAGGAGATGTCGTTACTTGTGACCATTCTTAAACAAGAGTAGGAATATTCTCGCACAGTATTGCAGAAAAACATCCTTTCTATGATCAAAAATTACACTAGAATGTTACTATTCTTAAGTAGTCGTAGAGAAAATATTTTTTCTACGACCACTATGTAAAAGTCACATTTCGTAATGGCATCGTTGCTTAGAAAATGAATCTTTTCATTGGCAAGGCAAAACACGAATGTAAAGTGACATTTCTGTGTGAAAAGTGACAGGTCTGTGTGAAAAGAATTTGACAGCATCGTTTGACATTCGTTTCAAAATTTGTATTGTATTTGTTATGTACATATGTCTCAAGACCATTAATTGTGTTTGCATACTAAATTCCAATTTTTAGTGCCTTTATTTAAATTGAGAAGGTGAGTTTATTGATTTTAAGTAACTTATACCTTAAAAATTAAAAGAATAAGTAATTTAAACAGCTGTCAAACACGTTTTTAGGATATTTTGTTTTGTATTTGAATATAATAAAAAATAAAAGGGTCGTAGAAAAAAGCTTTCTTCAAGCTCGTGTTAATGCACACTCGGCCTGATGGCCTCGTGAGCAACTTAAACACTCGCATGAAAAAGTCGCTTTTCAACACTTGTAAAACAAATAACTATTGATGCTAGCGATTTTAATAATATATATAAAAATGAGGTCGAAAAACAAAACATCCAATTTTTTCATAAAGCTGACATTTTTACAAAAAAAACAAGACAATGTTGAAAAAAATCAATGGATAAATGGCGAAGTTTTAAATTCAGCTTTTTGACGATTTTTAGTTTTTTAGTTTAATGAAAACCTAAATAAAGTGCATGATTGGAATTTTTGGAGTTTTTTACGCACTTTTTTCACAGCAAACATTATTCAAAATTTAAATTTGACATGACTCCGCAAACGTGAATTCTTTTGTTTCTCGTGTGACATTTTACTGATATTTTTTGACATTTCAACAAGGTATTTTTATTATTGTTTTATTTAGTTAATAAAAAATGTCAAATGAGTAAAAAAGTCCAAAAAAATGTACGCAAATTTATTTATGCGCTACAACAAAGTTATTTAAATTACTTTGGAATTTTACCAAATCTCACCGATTCATGGACACCAAATTCTCTGGGTGCTCTGTGTCAATCAATTCTCAGCAAATGGGCTGCTGGCCAAAGGTATGAATTTGTTTTTTTTACACATTGTATTTAAAATTTTCATTTTTTTTTTGACAATCTGAGCACGAAAAACGTTTTCACCAGCAAATGATTGCATTTGGTCCCTCATACGATAAACCGAATACGAAAGCAACAAAAAAAAATGAGAATGAGAATTTTTTTTATGTTCAATATTCAATATAGAATTTAATTTTAATAATTAATGTTTAATATAAAAACCAATGTTCAATATTAAATTTCATATAATTCAATAAAATGAAAAAAAAACTAAAAATTCTCGAAAAGCTGCGCCATTTATCCATGGATTTTTATCAACAGAATCTTATTTTTTTTCTTTAAGTATTATCCATAAGTAAAACAAATCAAATTAGATTTATCTTTTCGATTTCTATCTTTCCCAGAAAGATGATATATAGTTATTTTAACCTAAACTAATAATTATTATGATTTAAAATCTGCATAACTTTAACATAATTAAATATGTTAAGTTTATTTATATTTTATTTATTTTACACAAAAAAGTGTTACTTTAACATAAACTTTTTATTGATTTTACACAAATGGTATGTCTTCATTTAATTATTTTAATTTGTTATTTTAACAATATTTTTTAATTAATTTTTACATTATTAATTGTGTATTTTTATTTATTTTAATAATAGTTATTTATGTCATCAGGTTAAGAAGTAAGGCTTTTTGTGCTAAGATCAAGGTTTGAAGGCCGACGCATAGCGGAGGCCTACAATTGAGCGAAGCACAAAAAGGCACTTCTTGGCCGAATGGCATACAACATTTTATCTTCAAAGCACTTTATATAGTTCAATTTAATTCAACATCAAAGCGGCCTAACCTCACTTTTTTAGAATCTAATTTATTTATTAGCTAAAGATTACTTTAAATGTACGATAATTATTATTGCTTTTAGAAGCAGAAATAGTTTGACAATACCTAGCAACATGATTTAAGAAGAAATGGATTTTTGCTATTACATTAAATTCAATTAATTGTTTAATAAATAGGTAGGTAGGTATCTAATTTCAAATTGTTTGGATTTTTATTTAAAAACTAGGTAGTTTGGAATGTTTAAGCTGTGTTAAACATTTAATTTCACTGAAAAATAAGCAAATTAAAACTTAAAGATAATTTAAATCGGAGAAAAAGAATCGTGCGTTTTCTTGGTTGCCTAACCTCACTTTTTGTTTTATTATTCATATTTAATTTTACAATAATTTAATGAAAAATATTAAACATTAACAGTAAACAAACAAATTAGTGCTTATTATAAATAAATTAAACCAGTTTAGTACGTTAATTTCTTAGAAAAGGATTAATTTGTCAAAACAATACCCCTAGCGAGAAAAAATCGAACTAATTTCTTGACTCATAAAAATTTTTCTGGTCTGTTTAATATTTGGTTAAAATTAACAAATATTTTTTTAACTATTAAAATAGTTTTACACAACAAATAACAAATTACCATAGAAGAGTTGGTGTCTAAAATTAGGTTTAAAACTTTAATGGCATTATCCCGTAAAAAGCAAAATATATTTAGGAGCGATTTCGGGCAGAAACAGTGAAAACGAAAGAACAAAGTGAGCCAGTCAAATTAAAAATCCGGATGCTTATAAAATGACATTAGTGACCATGTTTGGCTTTGTGAGAGCGGCAAATTAAATTCGCCCATTCCTTCATGTCCCGAAACCTTTGACTCTGGCGATTGTCGGACGCGTATAAAGAGAAACTTATTTCGGCCAATTTCCTGTAGGAATATGCACAAAATATTTCGAATGAATAAGTTGATAACTTTTTCAAAATGGATAATTTTAAAAATCATACTAAAAGTATCAGTTCACTAAGTAAATTAAACACATCCAAAGCAATCGAATTAAATATAAAATATTATTAAAAATTAAAAGAAATATTTTTTATACCCATTTATGTAGGTGTTACAAACATTGATTCTATCCTCCGTAAATCTGTTTTGCTTTAAATTTTATGCAACGGATGGCGCTTTAATCATTTTAAATAAGTAAAAACCTCTGTTTACGACATTATAGATGCATGTGATTCCTGAAAGTCATTTAGAATTTATATGCAGATGAGGGTGTGGCTGTTTAATAATTCAAAAGTTTAAGTTCATTAATTTGCTATTTAAAACCCTATCCTGTAAAGTGTAATATCTCAGTAAGTAGATTTTTTTTATAAATATTTTATGTATCCACACCTCAAAGTCCCACCACGTGACCACGTACGGAACGCAGTCTTTTGAAAATTTGGCATTTAAGGCTTTTCAGGTCATGTATCTGTCAATGTATAGTCAATGAAAGAAATAATATTATGTTCAGGTGTTAAAAATGTATAAATCTTTATAACATTAGAATAACAATGGATGGTTTAAGAATTTAAGAATATAAATACTGCATTTAATGAAATTCTAAAATGTATGGTGCCAAATAAGTAATATTTTTGTGCATTTGGTCCAAATATCTGATTTTCTCCATAAAATAATTTTAACAAAACAGCATTTATTTAAAAAAATCTAGCTTCTCTATTATGGAATAAGAATATCTGTATTAAAGGTCTAATCTAATTTTGTAATTTTAAGGTGAGAAAAATTTATTTTGACCAAAATAAATAAGTATTTTGGATTATTTAAAAGACTGTATAATATGGTATTTAAAAATGTGGTAGTTTTTCTTATCCAGCTTAAAGTGTACCTACATAAAGTTTTGTCAATACAAATAGTTAAAAAGCTTCGACTGAATT